ATCGTGACAACCTCAAGGTACCCGAAGCTCGTATGTTAGCTCCAATCCGACCCTTCCGGTCTTGAGATATCTCCGAGTCACAACAGGAAGTGGAATGCTTGTCAGCATCCAAGGTGGGTGTTTAGCTCGTAAAAGAGCCGTCTGGCTGTGTCAGCTTGCAGCGTGCAAAGAGGCTTGACGGTATGTCAAAAGAGATGTCTCGAAGATGCTTGTTTCCCGAATTGGCCGGTTCGAGAGTCAGCTAGAAACTGAATTAATTGGGAAGTAATTCTTGTTTTAATAAACCACAATGTTATGAGTTCTGGCCAAATTTGGCAAATCAGAATTTGGCACGTTTCTGAGTCTTCATCAAAATCCCTCAGAAAACCACGCCTTCTTCAGATACAGAGTTTTAACACTTTGAGAATGTTTAAAACTCTTATGTGAGGTGAATATTAACCTTCATGAGTATCTTATTGTAATGTGTATGAGTGTAAACATTGATTAACTTGTTTAACCTGAAGGAAGATGGTTGGATGGGAGAATAGCAAGTAGAAGGGGGTCAAAAACTTGCCTTGATGCTTCAAATTTTATTCTCAGTACTGGCATATTATAAAATCTGAACCTAAAAACAGAAATGTGCAAATCTACAACAACCTGCTTGAGGTGCATCACTCCGGATATGCATTGGGGGGGCCACACATAGGGGTGCAAATGATCCCAGAGCCACATTTTGAAATTGAACTGTCAACTGTTGTGTAAAGCTGTAATGTGATTCAGCCACCACAAGAGGTGCTCTATAGATTGCAGTCTAGACTGATTAAATAATTCAAAACTGAAACCAGGAGGTGTTGACCACCAACCATGAAAGTGAAAATTACTACCAAGAATGTGGCTCTGTAAAGTAAAAATTAGAAGACATCATTTGAAGTTAATTGCTGATAGGTGGAATAAATTAGCCCAGCAAGCTCCTTCCATTCAGCTGATCCAATATGGGCAACCATGTGTGTTTGAGAATGGGCGCAGTGTAAATAAATCCCCCTGTGTGCCAAACAGTAAATGCATTATCTCTGTTATAATGGAAGGGAAAACAAGTGTAAAATGACAGAGGACTCAGGTGCAAATAACAAAAGCGTCATGTTGTCAGACCTAGTCCTGATCCGGCCTTACGATAATCACTATTTAATTTGCCATTATTATTACTGAGCTGAAAATGGCTGTGAAATTATCATTTAGAACGGGGCTGTGATCTGAATGCACATGCAGCCTAGCTCGCATCTCTAAGGCACTTGGCTAACTCAATTCATTGTTATTAATGTTCACAAACTGTTGATAGCCTGCAAGCGCATTAGGCGGATGGGAAATTACATTTAAACCAGCTGTTCACATATCAGTTTCTTATTTACCAGCCACATTTTCTAATTAAACTGCAAAAATTGATTTGACAAATCTGCAATAATCATTTTTATTTCATTAAGTATGCCCACAGAATAAGGGGTTTTTGAAGGATGTGCTCTATGAAAAGAGACCGATAATAATGTTGCTGTGCTGAATGCCGCTAAAGGCATAACTGAGTACTTTCAAAACAACAACAGCTTGTAGTTAAATCCTAATTATTTCTTAAACAAAGGGTTATGTCAGCAGATACACGGGGCCAACAAATGGAGCTAAATCACTGAGTCTAAAAGCAACACAAATTACACAACCAAGAGATTATTATTTTCCCAACATTCAGGATTCTGCTAAAAAGTTCTTATTTACTTAAAATTGGATTTCAACAGCCTTTCAATATCAAAGACATAAGTAAGAAAATTGTTCAGATATTTAAATGAATTTACCAGAATATTTTGTGCTGCATGTTCAAGGCTGTTGATTGAATTCATGCATTCTACTCAAAATTTCCAGGAATATAATTTCTGGTAATTTTTGCATAGTTCAGGAACCCACGTTTTTCATTCAATATTGTGGTTTTTAGTGGTCGAAGGTTACAGAACTAGCTTACTGCTTATGTATACACATGTACCTTTGTTATTAATTTTCTCCAAATTATTCTCTCGAGTGTTGGTGCTGCTGTAACAAGCAAATTTCCTCACTGTGGGGTCAATAAAGTCTATTCTTTTTTATTATTTTCTATTCTATTCTAATTTATGGATAATTAAAAAAAAACTCCAACAATGGCCTACATTTTTCCTTATAAAAATCAAGAACACACTTGTATTAAATAAGTCTCAGGAGCCAGGAGTGACCATCAAGACATCTTATTGAGATCCTTACATCCTTGTACTTAAATAGTAAACACATAAGGGAAGTAAATATGGCCTTGGCACCAAGGTCCCAAACTGAAAACAGTGGATGTCTCCAGTCTGTATGAAACCATGTGGTATTTTAATCCAACAGGAATTTACACTAAAACAACTACTATCCAAAATTCCTTGTATTGGAATTGTAAAAAAAAAATAAATAAATAAAAATAAAAAAAAATAAAAAATCTTTTAATTAGCGCCTAAAAGATAAAAATCACGAGGCGCTTCACAATAACAATTAAAATATAACAAAATATTTCAAAAAGTGATTAAAAATGTGTTTAAAATGAGAAAAAACAATGTGATTAAAAATGTAAACAAAAGGGAGAAAGAAAATGCATTGGAAAGAGGGAAATCAGTGGTTCTGGGAAAGGCGGAAGAGCAGAATAAGGAGAGGGTGATGACAAAGTTCACACAAAAGCCAGCTTGAACAACCAACCAAGATTTCAACATTCCACAATCTGCAAACACAACCAATGTTAGCTTTATGTTGTCATGAAAATGAACACCGTCCTTTGTGTGTATACATGCTGATGATGTGATACTGTGTATGATGATGGTAAATGGCCTGTATTTGATATAGCGGCTTCTAGAGTCCTGGAATCCCCAAGGCACTTTACTACACAATCAGTCATTCACTCATTCACACGCTGGTGGGAATGAGCTATGATGTAGCCACAGATGCCCTGGGGCGCACTGACAGAGGCGAGGCTGCCTAGCACTGGTGACACAACGACAGCGACAGACTGAGCGGAGCTCGAACCTGCAACCTTCCGATTACGGGGCGAGCACTTAACTCCTGTTTCACAATCGCCCACAGACAGACAGACAGACAGACAGACAGACAGACAGACAGACAGACAGACAGACAGACAGACAGACAGATAGATAGATAGATAGATAGATAGATAGATAGATAGATAGATAGATAGATAGATAGATATGTGCACATGTACCAGTTAAAATAACCCCTTCAAGTGAATACAAATGGCAGCGTCTAGTGATGAGGACATTTCTTGAACATGTCAGCCGGCATCTATGAAAATGTTTGCAAACAATATCGTCCCTCTGATAAGATTTTGCAGGAACTTTTGGTTATTTGGCTATCTGTTTTATAGCCATGTTTATACTATACATGCACACACTATACTATACTATACTGTACTATACTATACTGTGCCAGGGGTATTCAATTCCAGGCCTGGAGGGCTGGTACCCAGCACATTTTAGTGGCTTCTCTGCTCCAACACACTTGACTCAGTGATGGAGTCATCTGTTCAGCAGCTCATCAAGCTCTGCAGAAGCCTGTTAATTACCTGCTGATTGATGTCAGGTGTGTTGAAGCAGAGTTAAAACTAAAATGTGCTGGATACCGGTTCCCCAGGCCTGGAATCGAATACCCCTGTACAATCCCATTACCCTAACTACGGCACAAAACCCCACCTTTGCTTAAACAGCTAATTCAACCTTGATTAACGTCAAATTGTTACGAGTAAAACATTTGCGTTTTCAACAAGAAACATTAAATGGTTTTAGTTGTATTTATCCACTGAAATAACACATGCTATACTCAAAAGTTGGTTTAAAATGTTTTCACAAAACTGTACCGTTTAGTTTTAGTTTTTGATGTAGTATACATTTCTGATAGTGACAAACGATTTCCAGTACACAAGACCATTTTTCCCTCAAACAGATTATTTTCAATGTAATACGTAAAACTTACCTTTTAAAATAATTGAAACTATGTATAAAAGTTCCAAATATGTAAGCCATTCTATATTTTTCGAACAGAAAAGCAATGCATTATTTTTTACTCATTTGGAGCAATGAAGGTTACACATGGATACGTCTAACATGAAAACAGTTATTAGGGAGGAAATATTATTAGATAATAATAAAGTTTGTACTAAAAAACTTTTGAAAGAATTTAGTTCCGTAATTTTCTTTTTGTGCAAGTTAATTTTAGAGCATGAGATTGTGAATAAGATATGAATGGAAATATGCTCGATGACGTGGGTAGCCTCCCAGTGAAAGGGCTCAGAATATATAAATTCTTTTAAAAAAGGTATTTTAGCCTGTAAATTAGGGCTCTCACAGAAAAGGAGGCCTCTGTTACATGTTCCCACCTCTCATGGACAATAGTGAGCAAATTAGCCTTAACATGATGTTAAAATGGTATACAGCTTTTAGAAGCTAATTAATTTTCCAAGCAATCATGCAAACATGCAGTACCAAACACTCACCCCTCAAATCACAAAGGGGAAGCAATTAAACCTACATCCTCCGATTACAGGAGACAAAAGGAAACAACTGCAGATTTGGTTGCATGCGTAATTAATTAGTCTGAGAGGGCTGATTTGAAGAATCACAGATAATGACCTGATTTTGAGCTCATTAATTTGTTGTGATTAAAAATGACCAAAATACCAAAACACAAAGCATAAACAGTCCTTGGTCCTGAATAACCTCAGCGAGCAGATTAATGGCTTATTTCTTGGTCTGTTTGTGCTGCATTTTACTAATCTTTGCAACCGTGTGAATGCTCATGTCATCATATGTGTGATTTTGGTTCAAGTTACAGGGAAATTAGATTAGGGAGTAAACAATAACTAATATGATTTGTTTTAAAATGTAGTTTACATAAAAATATGAAGGTATTTTACATTTTGTGTCTTCAACTGGTATGCTTTGTGTTTTGACATTAGTTTCTCTACTGACCTTAACCATGACACTCATGAGCGCACAGGGAACCATGAGCAGAACAATGTTCTCTGTGAACCTGGCGGACCAGAGGGCGCTGTTCTGAACACCAACGGCGCGCAGAACCTCCTTGAGCCGAAGTTCCTTCTCCAGCACCAAACTTTTGATGATCATGCACACAGAGTACATGAAGGCCAGAACCAGGAACATGGGAAGAACGGTTCCGATACTCTGCATGAAGCTGGTCACAGAGGAAAGCAATCGGGAAAGGTCAGAGGTAAATCTTTGAAGATTTCAGATGGTGGTGATGTGATGCTGACAGATTTTTCTTTCTCCATGAGTCAATCTTCAGTACAAAAGATGTCAGCCGCATCATAAATGTCCTGCAAATGATCTTAAAATGAGTCTTAAAAGGAAAAACATCAGACTTATTTATTTAATTTTTTTGGAAACACATTTAAACTTTTTTTTTTTTACCTTTTTAAAAAAACTTAGTAATCCTTACAAATTGAGTACAAAAATATGTGACTTTTTTAGCTTGTGAAAAATGTTTTTAATGGATGATTCAACGGAAATTACGCTGGAGTAGTTATATGCATTAGCAGCATATTCTGATTAAGGATATTTTTGTTACTCCTGTGTGTTTAATGCACTGTATTTTGATGATTTACTAAGACATGTATCATACTGGCCACACACTAGCCATGTAAAACTCAGCTAAACACCATTTAGTTACAAATAGGAAAGCTCTGTGGATAAGAAGCCAGACACTTACAAGAATAAAAAAGAAGTCAAATTACCCACCCCCACTCTGTCGCATGAAAAATCATGGACTGATAGTGGCCTGGCTTTGTTTCTGTGGGACTTTTTAGTCCAACAGTGTGGATCGTTTTACTTTGTGGTTTATTTTAGCATTAGCTGGCTCGTGTTAGTGTTAGCTCATTGTTATTTTGTGTGCATCTGTGTTTACAGCAGCAGGTGTCTTTGGGGCTGCCTTGCACCTTTCAGCGGAGGCTTCCAGCTGTGCTTTGTCATAAAGTAGTCCCAAGTCCAAAAATTGAGCCTGTGATTGCTTTAAAGACTTTTACTCACAATTCTAGTTGGATCCATTCAGTTACTGTGTTTTATGCTACGCTAAAGCTTAAGGACTACAACTGGGTCAAGAGAGTCACTGGGCTGGTTAAAAATATTTTTTCCTCCACTTATCTAACTCTGGCAAACATACCAGCAGACAAAATGTCAATTTTGGCTTGAATACCCCTTTAAACTTTACATCATGTTGATTCCCTGATAGGGTCAGGACCCCACTGGGAGTCACAAACTTACGTTTAGGGTCTTCAGAAGAACTCAACAAAACCAAACAAAATGAAAAAACAAAACTATAAGATTTTCCTCAACAATTTATGTAAAAACTAAATAAAATCTGTTTAAATGGAATGAAGTTGTGCAACACAAGTTGGTCTTCTTACTGTTCATAATAAATAATTGTTATATATATATATATGTACTGTATATAAATATATATATATGCACTGTATATATAAATATATATATATGTACTGTATATATATATATATATATATATATATATATATATATATATATATATGTATACATACACACACACACACACACACACACACACACACGTTGCTCCCACCGTGATAATTTGGTTTGTACATCTTTGCTGTTGTAAGTTCTGTGGGTCAGAAGCTAAAAATTTGGCAACCGCCGGTTTTATTTAAATAACAGATTCATAACAGATTTGTAACAATTACAAACAAGATTTCTAAACTGAAATAGTTAAACTCCTGATTCTACAAATGAAAAAGCAAATAAAGATTTTGTTCTTAATGTTATTTCATGTGGTTTTTTTCTACTTTTCCACTCCACCGTGCAACTATACATAAAAAAACTGTATCAGGCAAATGTTAAATCTGTAAATGCTGCCTTATTTTCTACACGTGGACTTGCATTTATTTAATAAAAGAAGATCAAACATCCTTTAGAGGTGCTGAAGGTTTTAAAAAGCACAAGGGACAAACCAAGACAATCTGCTCTGCATCCATGGATTCGCCGCCTTTGAGGTTGTTATCATTTTTACGCTGAGCTAACCTTTATAAAGTTGGTGCGTCAGCTTAATCGGGCATTTAGTGCTCCGTCTCACGCCAGAGATGATGTATGATTTGATGCTGTTACAACACAATAAGGCAATATTAAACTGGCTTCATAATGCCACCAAAATGCCATGTCAATATCGTCTCCACTGCCAATATAATAAAGTGCTGCCTTTGATTTATTAGACAGTGAAGGAGAGATATCAAATACATTCTGAAAAAGTGTAATGTTGCAGAGGAAGCTTCTCAGCGCAAATAAACCGGAGATTCCTCTATTCGACGCTCTTTGTTAAATGTTGTTTCAGGCGAATTGTTGAACATTTGTATTGCATTTAGAAGAAATTAGTTTAAGATACAACTCAGGTCAATTAATATTGTCGAATCCCTGCCGAAGTACTTTCATATAAACATCCCCTTAACGTTTAGCTTGGAATAAACGGTTTATTTCAGGAGACGGAATTATCCGAACCCTAAGCCTTTATGTGCAAATAACCAAGATTTATTTCAATATAATTATCTTTTGCAAACAATTAACACGTTTTTGCTTTAATGTCTTAATGCCAATGTCATTTAAGTATATTTTAGCATAATAAGTTGGCTTGAGAATCGAGAAAGAAAAACTCGAAGTTGAGAGTTTGAGGATATTTTCGAGGACACTGCCCTCATGGGATGGATCACCTTTCAAGGAAAGGTTGGATTTCTAAAAGTTCATACTCACGGCAACTAAATCCGGAGTTCCACACAGGCTTACAAACACTAAACCGCCTCTTTGAAGAGACCTCTAAATCGATACACTTCCTCAATCAGCTAACTGATACACTGGCACGTTTTCTCGGGAGGTGCTGAGACAAAGCTGAATACTAAGTTTGGAATTATGTGCTCTGTATTACCTGCCCTAACATTTTCCTTACACCAGGCAGGCTCTGTGTGAGTTAACTCCTTCGGTGACTTCTCCTCCCGCCTCGAGGGGGAGAGATCAGTCATGCACACCGAGTCTGACACTGACAACCTTGCCACCAAGACTCTCTTGAATTATACATTTGCCGATCGATCAAAGGTGCTTAAGTAATAGAACCCGAGGCAGGTCTGTGTTACGGGGCTCCAGTTACACCGACAGGCTGACCTAAATTTAGGGAATCCGGGAGATGGATAATTTCTGTCATAGCAGAGCACATTCTTCTGAGAGGCTGGTATACCATTCTAAAAACAAAGTAATAGAAAGCTTCCTATCTCATCTGGAGCAAAACTCTCTCTCAGCCAAGGTTTTGCTACGGAGAACAATAGCAAATGTCATCAGTTTTTGCTTTTTAGTCCCACTTAGATGTTTCAGATTAGTAAAAACATTTTAACAGCAGACAAAGACAGCCTAAGTACTGTAATTAAATTTCGTTTATTAGAGGGAACAAAGCTGTCCAAAACAACCTGTTTGTGTGGAAAAGTAATTAACCCCTTAATTCTATAATTGGTTATGACAACTATATTCAAGCATTTGTGATGACTGGAGGTGAGTCTCGTGTCACAGGGGAGGCATTTTGTCCTACTTTTCTTTGCAGAAATGTTCGGATTTAGTTACACTGAAGAGTATTCCTAGATGTTTAGGATGTGTAAGGTCAAAGGTCAGACACTCTTCTTCGAATTTTCTACTAGAAAGCAGAATTCATGGTTGCATCATTTACAGCATGTGGTCCTGGTCCTGAAGCAGCAAATCAGCTCCAACTCACACCACCACCATGCTTGACTATTGGTTTGGTGATCTTATTCTGAAATTCAACATTGGCTGTACACCAGATGTAATGGGACAACACCCCTCCAGCAAGTTCCACTTCAGTCTTATTAGTGCACAAAAATCATTTTAATACTTAAGATGTATTGTTTTAAGATCACTTTGGGCAAATGTAAATTGAGACTTTGTGATTTTTTCGGTCAGGCAGAGATTTTGAACCCAATCCCATTACTCGCACTTCCACCCCTGCACCCTTCAACTGCACAATCCCCACTTGGGGTTCGAGTGCGTAGGGTGTCCCCATTCTTAGGTGCGGAAGTTGATCCGCACTTCACCCAAGTCCATTGCTGCGGGAGAACAGGCTCATGTTCCTTTTCTGAACATATGAATTTTCTAACGAAAGTAGTTCATTTTAGGACGATTAGTTGATGCTCTAAAACTTTTAGACAAAGCAGCAACAGATATGAAATTGTTTCAAATAACTGTTTGTTTGAAATTTGAAAAAAGAGTATCACTGCATGCATGCAACCAGCATGCGTTGTGATCAATGACTTAATGCTCCCTGTCTCAATTTGGCATTTATTCGCACACTTGTGTACCACGCACTCAAAGCCTGACTTGGAACTTACTTTCTCCAAGTGCATTTTGCTAAAGACGGCAGTGTGAGTATTGGGATTGGGCCTTGGTTTGGAAACTCCCCCATGGATGCCATTTTCTTTCCTCGTTTCTTTGTTATTATTGAAACATGATTCTGACCTCAACTTTAACAAACTGAGGCCTGCAGAGCTTTAAGTGGTGTTCTTGTCATGAAGTGGTGGTGGTTGTAGTAGTACCCAAATGCAAGTGAGCAGGAACAGGATGTAAACTGGCAGGCAAATAACTGTTTAACATGAATGTTGGTGGGCAGTTAGTTAGTTAGTTAGGTAGGTAGGTAGGTAGGTGGGATGGATGGATGGATGGATGGATGGATGGATGGATGGATGGATGGATGGATGGATGGATGGATGGATGGATGGATGGATGGATGGATGGATGGATGGATGGATGGTACAGCAGGAAGACAAGAGGAGGATCTGACAAGGACGAGTACAAACAGAGGGTTTAAATACATGAGAGTAATCAGGAATCAGGTGAGTAGGATAACAAGGGGCAGGTGAGTTCAATACACACTTAACGAGGGAAGACAAGACAACACACAAGGGGAAGAAGTGGGAGATCCTGACATTTCTGGGGTCTCATTTATCAAACATTGCGTAGAATCCTTGCTAAAACCATACTTAAGCTCAGCAAAAAAAAAAGTACTTACGCCAAGTAGGTTTGTGATCTATCAAACAAGGAGTACGCACAGCTGCACACAATCTCTGCTTCATAAATCGGAGACTAACGAGAATGTTTCTCAGC